TAGTTCTTATAGTATCGATATTACTAAAAGTCTATTTAAGTTTCTTTTTAAAGTTTTTATAGGATATAAAAACTTCTTTAGTAATCTCTCTCTAATCTCCTAGGGGTTTATCGTTAAATTCTTTAATATAGGGTTTAAACTATTTAAATACTTATCTATATAGGTAGATAGAGGCATAGATAACTCTATCGGATTCTTCTATATAGTTAATTAAGTAGAGCTATATATCTATCTAAGTTATAAAGGAACGAAGCTTAGTTTATTCGCTATAATAGAACTTAGGTTTTAATAGTTTAATAATAGTTTATATATAAATATTATTTATTTATATAAGTTATTCCTATAACTAGGATATTATCTCTATAAGTTATATATTAGTAGGTATAGAGTTCGATCTACTTAAAACGTTACTTAAAATACTATTATTACCTACTATAATAACTATACTTTAAGGTTTAAAGATAGGGTAATTAATATATTATATAGTACTAACTAGTTACTATAAGTAAAGCTCTAAGGATTATACTTACTAAGTATTACTACTAATCCTAAGTATATCTCTTAATTATACTATTACTATTTAAGCCTTACTACGGTATAGATCCTAATAAGTCTTTTATAGGATATACTAGAAATATATACCGAGTAAGTTAGTTACTAAGTATTACTACTAAGTAAGCTTCCTTACTTATAGATTAGGTTATCTTAAAGTAAACTATAAAGTATAAATTACTAAACGTAGTAACTAAGTAATAATATATAATTAATCGCGAAGAACTAAATATATAATACTAAATAAATATCCTTATATATCCGGTCCTTTATAATAGTATAGGTAGTAGATAGTATAGTAGTAGATAGGTCTTAGTACGATCTATCTATATACCGATCTACCCTTTTACTATTAGAGATTACGTACAGTCTTACCGGTACCTTATACTTAGGGCGTAATCTTAGTATAGGTAAGATAATAGCTGTTTCCTACGCCGTACTAGCTACCTTATCTTATTAGGTCCTTTTGGGCGTACCTAAGTATACCGCGATATACGTAATAACACTAACCCCTAGCGTCCGTAGGATGATTAGGTTACGGTTACTCCTCAAATAGCTGCGGTCCTCGCGCCTCTCGAGGTCCGTAACAGATAGCTCCCCCTCTTCTTCCCGGGTAGTCCCGAAGCTACCCCGCTCTAGAGAGATAGTATACCTCGGTATACTATATATTAATACCCTAGCGAAACACTACCGACCCCTCTCTTACTAGAGTGTATACTCTACTATAAAGAGTTCTACATCCTTCTATGTTTTCCTGATTCCTTAAGAATCAGTCTTTGTTCTGAATTGATTATACTGGTTTCTCCTTACCTAATCGACAGGCCCTCTACCCTGCAAGTAGATATCGTAACAATAAATAACGCTAGATTAACTACTTTCTATAGATTATATAGCTTTTCTATAATTTTACTTATAAGTTTTTAAAGATAACTAATATAACTATATATCTTATTTTTATAGTATATAATAAGCTTTTTAAATATATTAAATAGTTAATTAACTAGCTTTAGCGAAAAAAGTTAATATAGAAAAAGAATATATTTAAAGTACTTAAGTCTATAAAGATATAACTAAGTAAGTATTATAGTTGAACTAATAATATTTAAGGTAATCTATATATATTTATAATAATATTTACTTTAATTAATAAGTTTTAGTTTTTTATAATTAGAGACTAGAATAATAAATAATATAATAGATATTATAAAAGCTTTAAGGAGTACTTAATTCCTTACTAAGAGTACCTTAAATCTTAATAGGGTTAATCTACTCTTTAATTATTATCTCAGAAAGGATTATAGCTTAGTCTAATACTTAGTATATATAATAGTAATATATTATTACTAAAAAATAAGATTATATAATATCTTAATAGTAATAAGCTTTTTTATTTACTTTAACCTTATTTATCTCTTACTTAGTTCTTATATTTACTATTTATAGATCCTCTAAATAAATAGCCTTTTTTATTCTAGAAAGATAACTAATACTAGTTCCTAGCGATTATAGTACTTATATAAGATATCCTAGTAATCTTTATAATAGATATAGATATTAAACGCCTATTTAATACTATATAGGATATTTATTACTATTAGTAAGACCGCTTAAAGATAGATATAATTAAAGAGTTAATAATATTTTATTATATAATAAGGTTTAATCTATAGGAAGAGGAAAATACTCTAATAAAAGAATTCTTTACTATAGAGGAGATTAAAGTATCGAAAAAAGAAGAAAAAGAAGAGATATCTAATTAGATTAATCTATTTAAGCTTAATCCTATTAGTTTAGATAAAGAAGATATACTATAAGAGAATAAGGAGGAGCTAGAAGAGGCGTACTAGGTTATAGATAATAATAATAACCTTCCTAAGATAGGAAGTACCTAAGTATATCGTCTATTATATAATAAGAAGTATCCTAGAGATAATAATAATTAGTAAGAGTATTACTAGTCTATTAAATAGATTTAAATTAACCTAATTTATATATAATATTACTATAGAACTAATTTATATATAATATTACTATAGAACTAATTTATATATAATATTACTATAGAACTAATATATAAATATAGGCACTTTAAAAGAAAGGCGGTAATCCTTCTACTAAAAAGTAAACTAGTAATAGCTAAGACAGAAAAATATAGGCTAAGACTATATAAATAATATAGATAATATATTTATAGTATTTATAACCCATTTAGGCCTATAGGGTACCTACAGATTACCTACCTAAACCTACTACCTACGATAGGCCTAAGAACCTAACCTAATACCTAACCTACTATAGGTTAGGTCGGGTTAGGTCGGTAGGCCGGATAGGCTTTACCGCAGTCTACCGTTCCTTTCCTTCCCGGGGACGTTATTAGGGGTTTCTCCCTAATATAACCGGCGATCTACCCTTCCGCTGTTTCTACAGGTACCGGGTATCCCGGCCCTCGTCCCTTTTTCCCTTCGGCCTCGCTAGCGAGGTCGATAATTTTATAGCTTCGTAGCTATTCGTTCGACTATAAGGGTGTTTCTGTGAGGTATCTAGGATATTAGGTCCTTTGCTCTTGTGCTAGCGAGGGGTCCGTCTATTAGGACCCCTCCTAGCCTACTATAGGAGGTAGGGTCTTGTAGGGTTTACTACTAGATAAGAGATCAGAACGGAATAATTGATTGTCCTTCCCGTTATGGGAAGGACGCTAAGCTAAATACTCCTGGTGATGTTTATATAACATGATGCCCGGTAGGCCTAATAGCCAGACAGCCAAGGGCTGTTGGATTATAGTGCCGCCGCCCGTAGACTGCCTAAGGCAGTGACAGGTCCTGGGACCACAACGGGCCTCACGAATGTGTGTCCACGTCGACAGGCCAGAAGAGGAACATCCCCCCGTAAAACTTTCGATTCATATATTCACTTGTCCGGGCCTGGGCCACGCAGCTTCAGCTCCCGTCGCGGGCCGGTCAAGATATGCCCCGCAGATATGAGTGGTTACGGCACGCGGAAAGTGGAAGTAACACTCTTGGCGTATTCCTTCACTTTCTCTCGTCTCGCATTACTTGAATCAGAAAAAGGGCTACTCTGATTATAATTTACTTGACGAATCCCATTCAACTTGATCTGGGAGTAAAGTTGTGATATCTTGATGACCTCATGTGGAAAAAGGCTACTGTACAATCCCCTTTGCCTTATTGGCATTTACGTAGATTGATTGGCCCATGCTGAATCACTCTCGGCTTCACAATGAAGTGACATCGACCTGCTGTCTCCGGGAACCGAGTCCGTAGTTCTAGGAGCAAAAAAGTTCCTGGAACCAACTGATACGCTCCTGGAGCCACTTCAGCTCGCCCCAAGAACACGTGTCGTGTTTCCAGGAAGAGATTGAGCTGGTGTAGTCCAGTAGAGTCCTGATCTATGGCTTCAAAGCCTGTTCCACAAGTGTTCCGGATTAGCATGAGGTGATCACAGTCTTTTTGTCGGTCCCAGGAGCCGAGCATGACCTTCGAGGAGCAACCCTGTTCCCTGGAATTCCTAGAGACGGTTCAAAAGGCTCTGGGAACTGTGTTCTTTGGTCCTGGGAACCTCTTTTGCTCCTGTCGTTACATGCACTGTTCCTGGAAGCAGCCGTTGGTTCTCTGCGACCGTGTGGAATGTCTCCGAGTTTAAACAGCGACGCCACTCGTATTTTGAGGGGAACGACGGCAGTCCAGAATAACACATACAGCATGTGAAGGGTCTCACGTACATGTTTTCCAAATGAATGATCAACACTGAGAAAGATAAAGTCGACTCTAATAACAAGATGTAGGGCACTGGAGTGAAAGCTTCGCGTCGAGGGGAGACCCAAATGCGCCATGTGGGTCTGTCTCCTCCGATCCTCAACACTGACGAGTCCACTTTTGGGGTTGTAGATCAACCCAGGGCTCGGTTCCTAGAGGCAGGCATGTACATCTCGGGACAGCTGAAGGGACTCCAGGAACTTACCAGTAGGCCCTAGAAACGTACAGTACCAGTAGGCTCCAGGAACCATTTTGCTCCTAGAACTACGGACTCGGTTCCTAGAGGCTGATTGATGGCACTCCAAAGTGGAGCAAGGAGTAGCAGTGAGCCAATAAAAATTCTCCTTGAGCGACATGCGAGAATGGCACAGTAGTCCAGAAGTAGGCCAAACTTGACATGTGTATTTGGCCCACCATTGATTCTGGAACCAATGTAGCACGAAAACCACAGTAATTCTGTGACTCGAGTTCGAGCACTACTGCAGTTTTAGAACTACAGTTCCAGAACCACATTAGTTCTGGAACCCCACTTCGAGAACTATGATAGTTCCAGAACTAATGTGGTTCTGGAACTCTAGTTTGAGAACTACCTTAGTTATATCGAGCATAATTCGAGGATGGAGGTTGCTAATATTTAGGTGCGTGCCTTCTTTTCAATCGTACCGGAATTTTCAATCACGACTCATTGCTGTATGAGCACATATAGAACGCGCAAGACCTAAGGGGAAGCGGATCGGCAAACTGCGTCAACCCAAAAGCAGTCAAAACAGAGACAATGTTGGCGTCATGGGTGAACTCCAAGTACAGCTTTTGGTCGAGGGGAAAAGTGACAGGGTTTGTGTCCAGAGTCATGTTAGCTCCAGTGGTATTGGCGGGTACGTCGAGTAAGTGACCTTCGATGCGTGCTAAGAACTCTTCCACCCAGGCGCTGCCCTGGGCCCGACCAGTGGGACTGTGGAAGCCAGAATACCCCGCAAACTCGATGTCCATCAGGTACGCATAGTTCACCCAGTCCTCGTAGGTAAAGAGCCGACAGAAGTCACTATAGCCGAGACTGATGGTCTCGTAGGAACAGAGAGACTGAGCGTGGTAGGTATCGGTGACAGTCCAGGTGTAGTTGCCTGCCAGACGCTTCAGCTCGGCAGTTCGCTCCTTGAGGTAGGTGGCCATCCAAGTGCCCACGGGAATCTCGATTGTGTCCGCTATGGTCTCCCCCTCTTTGGTGCAAGAGAACTCGCCGGTGGTAGCTGGGTCGATGGTGGCCAGGATGTTGGCATGGTTTCTCCAGTTCAGCCCGAAGAAACCAGCCAAGAAATTCTCGCAGCTCTCAAGCATACGAGACTGCAGGGTGGTGCGTACCACGATTTTGGACGAGTTATCCCAGAGATGGCCATAGTTGTAGAAGTTTAGAATACCAGAATCAAACAGCTCTTGACGGCCTTTGGGAACAAGGATCTCCTTGCCCAGCTTGTAGGACCAATCATTCAAGAACTCCAGCTCTCCTTGGAAAACAGTACCCTTGGCAGTGGCATTGACAATACCAGCGCCCCATGAATCCAGTCCTTCTGATGAAGAGGGATATCTGGCACCGTGACGCTGAAGCAAATGCATTTGCGTGATATTAGCACCCCTAGGCAGAGGATACTCATCAACACAAAAGCCCTCCTCCGGCGAAAAATATGGACTGTTGAAAAGAGGGTAAGCGAACTATATATATGAAGAGATGTATTGTGCCCTACCTTAGATCACCCATCAGGTGAAAGATGTTCCGTCCATGAGCACCCTTTATCGGCTCCGATGTTTCCAATGGAGCATTGTGGACGTAGGTAGCCTCGCCGAAAGGCGCCGGGTTGATCTCTGCTAGAAATGGAGCAGCACCGGTTGCCACTGTGCCTAACTCCATGTTAGCTATTTGTCTCGCCCTGATACATTCGCCGACACTAACCTGCATAGAGATCAGGCGATGTTTGGAACCAGTCGGGCTGAGTGGGCGTAGCTCTCGGCGAGATGGCCCCCGCCTCCAGGGCAGTGGCCACTGCAACGGAGAGCATTAGGGACTTGATCTTATCCATAGCCATTGCTAATTCTTCAGCTGCATTCGACGCGCTTAAACTCCCTATCCCATCGCTAGCCGTGACTCCTGATCCTTTTATACGGTTCTCGTCGTATTGCTTCGCTTAGGGGTTTAAGGTCGCGATTGGATCGCCTACATGTTGACAAACGTGGTGGAGTTACATGGACGTCGGATGATGGAATGGTGAAGATCCGGGAAATGAACAACCAAATTAAGCTGCAATCACAGCTCTTACGCTCTCCATGTGGGAGGGCGATAATCTTATCGCGACGCCGGGCGGGGACGTGTTGTGCCAGCCGGCCAGTAAGCGGCTCTAGTTGTGTAAGCGAAGGGCTAGCGCACGCCTTACTGACATTGAAACTCCGGAGTATATCTGCATTGTTCATGCAGCTAGCCAAGGACGAGTCCGTGGCGAACGTTGTACCGATCTATGTGCAGAGCATAGCATCCGGCAGAGGGAGGGACGGTTTGGATTGCTACTAAGGGATCTGGCCGAGTTGGATATTTCCTCATCGGCGTGCCCTGCTGGGAAGCTTCAAATTAAAGCCCCCAAATCTATGAAGATGTAAGGACGGCATCATATACTGCCCGATCACTTAATTATCCTTCAAATCTGGATTGTTTTTGCCGAGACTTCGCGGGTACTTGAACTTGGCGTAGTAAAACTTTGCCGGTAAACTCGGCAGTCACTCGTTCTCAGTGACATGACACAGAACAAGCAGTATTGATCTTTTCTTCTGGTAGAAGAATTCCGGTTTGACTTTGTATTTTTGCATACGCCCACCTACTTGATCTTGTAATGGCTATTGTTTGATTCTTTGCACTATCCAATGGACATGGGCGCTCTTTTGCATCTCTTCGGCCCGTCCCATCATAACAACAATTTCGTACCACATAATCGACACATTCCTGATCAAGCAGACTACGTATGTTGTGTTATTAAGGCAAATGGAATTTTCAGAACCGTGTCATAATAATGCTAGGGACATGGGAAGCTATCCTTCGGACTCAAGGGGGGCCGGCTCCCCGCCATGTTACACAGTCTGAACAATCTCACTTCGACGTCATCCTTAAATGAGCCGACAATGGAATGCATCACTCCGTGGTTGTTAAAGAGCACAAGATCCCCCTCTTGCCAGTCATGAGCGTAGATATACTGGGGATCAATTGCACGCCTCTGCAACCGATACAGCCGTTCCCGAATCTCAGAAAGGTTGTCAAGAACCCGACCGTCCTCAAGACGAATCCTACGAACGCAAGTAGGATATACCATCATTGTCAGCTTTCCATTAACGGGGTTCTTTCATGCCATTGGATAGGGTTTGATCTTCTCAACCTCAAAGGGAGGGAGTTCATCCTCTGAAAGTTCCAGCCCTTCAGAAACAGTTGGCTTTGCTCATCCATATGTATGGATGTGGCGCGTATTCGACTTGGCTGGTTTGGACAAAATGCTTTTCCTCTTCTGAAAGGAGTTCATAAAGACGGTAGCCGCTGAAGAATGTCGTTGTTCCCAGGGGCACGTCAAGCGTGGTGTTGGTTTCATCATCATAGCGGCATATCTGGCGGCGCCCCTTGGGAACTTGTACAGCCAAGAGGGAAGTGACAAGCGGGGGATCAAGGTCATACATGGCAGAGTCAATGTGCCACCGATAGAAATGGGTGAATTGCTGATCCTCTACCACTGGAATGGGAAGCTTCTGAAATGCTTTGTGATGAGGGTGTCTCAATTGGAGGTTCGTCAACCCTTCATATTCCTTGACAAAATCATGTCCAATGACCTGGACCTGTGGTTGATGAGGAATTGTAGTGAGGTCGCTGTGAAGAACACTGCGTTTGTCGATAGATTTTCCGTGGCTATAAATACCAGCTGAAGGGTCAAACCGTCGCGTAAGCTCATATTGCACGCGAGGGGAGAGATTGCGTTGATTTTTGATCACAAGAACTTGGTGCTCGTATATTCGCGAAGTATGGTAAATTCGTCGTCTTCAAAACTTTTAGCAATATTTTCAGGGCATTTTCTGGAAGGCACCTACCGGTCAATTTCTCAAGCTCCAGGCCATGGATCTCAACTCCGAAGTCCACTTGAGAGTTGGCCGTCTTGACGAGAGGCTTGTAAGACACCGCTGAAGTACCCATTTTGAGCGATGAGACTTGTTATGGGTGAGATGCCCAGGTAAATCTCCAAATATAAATGTTTAAGAGATCAATGGATTTTATATGGCGGAAATCTGCTCTGTTCCGTGCTAATCGAGCGATAGATGCGGGTGATTCTTCTATGCTCGGCCGCCAAGAGGATCCCAATTTTTAGATGAGACGACTTTTTTATTCAGTATTAAACTGGGAGAAAGTAGATCTACAGATAAGTAGGGATCTAATCTCTAATGGAAATTCGAGATAGTTGCGGATGGGTTTGTGGACCCACCCGCTCTGTTCTAGTTTCACAAGTCTATATAAGAGAGAGTATAGTTGAGGCATATTATGAAACAACACATTTCTGAATCAAAAGAAAATCTTGATTATTCTACTACGGACATGTCTGAGTCAACAAGCCTGGTCGTCAATCTCCTTCCAAAGAATATCAGACAGAGTTCAGCTATTGGCGCAGAAATCCAGCTGGCTCCGGGAATGCCAATTCTGAACGTCGAAGAACTGACCAGAAAGGACGAGGATACTCTACGACAGGCCTTGCTTAAGAACCAGGTTGTGATCATTAAGCAAAAGGGAATCGATCCTACAGTCCTTCCCAAGCTTGCCAAGATATTTGATTCGAATGCGACCGATATTCATTCTGCGGGTGAGAACGCCGTGAGCAACCCAAGGAATATTCTATCTGCATACAAAACAGGCAGAATACCTAGAGCCCCGCAGGTTGGAATTGTTGGTTCTGGAAGGTTCCAGGATTACGAGGGTATCAAAGAGCTCGAAGTTGTGCATTTGGTCGGTTTCTCCGGCTGGTATAAAATAATAGCTTGGCTTATCCGTGGAATAGGACCATACTCTCTTTCATGAAGAGCCTCTTGCTCAAAAAGCTTAGATCAAGGATACACTCGCCCATACAGGTGGCATATGGACACCCCATTCTATGAGAGATTGCCGGGCGAAGTGACCATCCTCCATTCCATTCGCATGCCCAATATGCCCGACCAAAAGATCAAATTTCCGGATGGAGAAGAAAAGCAGATTGCTGCTGGTGCGACAGCATGTGAGTCAACAGTAATTCTTTCTTCCAAAAAGCTTCAATCTAATTTGAACTCTTCTTCAGTTTTCTCCGGCGCTCGTGCTTTCGAGATTCTCACTCCCGAGGAACAGGAATTTGCTCTCAATACGACGGTCACATATGCTCCCCAGGCCTACGAGTATATCAGACAATGCAAGGCTTCTGAAGATGGCTTGACTATTCCAAGATTTGGTCGCGAAGTTCCAGTTGAGAAACGGTCGGACTGGGCCTGGGACAAAGTTGCAGAGCATCCCGTGAGTTTCGACCCAACCGTTCTGCCCGCATTGCTATGTCCAAAAACCGGTCACTACGCTAACAGATGGGATCTATTAGATGGTTTGGCGAAACCCCCTCAACCCAGATAGACCTTTCCTCCAATTTCACGGTTGCTGTGTCTACAAACTTACCACACGGGACCCACATACTGGGGCTATCACTGTCCTGGACAATGTCGAGGAAGTGAGAAAGGTGGTCTATAACATGCAGAGGAAGATTTATACGGCAAGAAATATCTACGCGCACCGCTGGGAAGAGGGCGGCCTGGTCGTCTTCCACAATCGTGGAGTCATGCACAGCATTACTGGCCAGCTTTTGAAGCATAAGGAGGACGATGACAAAAGGCGATTGCTGTGGCAGTGTACAATGACCAGCACCAAGCCCCCCAAGCCCTTTCGCGACTACGAGGGTGTGAACGATAGTGGCTACGCTAGAGTTTGACCTATCCTCAATTCAGGATTTGGATCCTTTACAGATTGTGTATCATACATCTTCATTTCTCAAAATTTCAAATCGGTAGCCTGGCTGAATGTTGGCTGAAGAGCTAGAAACCCTGTTACGCATCCTCTCCTATACAGAACCAGGCAAGACCACTGACATTTGGCTCGGGTACACAAGCGCTTGCTGTTTGCGTGAGGAAAAGTTTGCGCGGATGAGTTACGCGGATCTGAATACCTTACCAGATCCTGTTTACTGGTGCAGTGGCAGGCTTTGGTACTCGATCGGTCGGGCTCGCAGTCATCCGATGCGCCTCACCTTTCAGCTCTGCCTTAAATTGCCAGGCCAAGTGGGTTGGCGTAGGACACGTGCATTCCTGGGCTGCATTCATTGCGATCTTAGCGTTACAAACACGACTCCTACGCTATGGCGTCCCCACCCCGGAACTTGTGGAGTCTCCTCGAGTCGCAGTGGCAATTTTCTGAGCTTCTGATACCCAACTCCCTGATTGACGGTCGATCCTTTGAATTCTGGTCTGCGGGGAGGATCATAGGTCATAGGCGATGCGTCATGGGTTTGAGTTGAGGCACAATGGAATTGTCGCCGAAAACGGCGAGTCGGGCGGCTCGACATCGGGAGCACCCGAGATATTCACGAACCTGGTTTGATTTGGACATCATAGACCAGAGAATGCGGGCTCGCGAAGGCTTGATCTTTTCTGTGCCAGTTTAAAGGCCAAGCTGAGCGATCGACGGGCAGAAAGACCCCAGTCGCGGTCGGATCCCACGTACACTGCACAGCAATGGACAACGGACGATGTGCTCTGCATCGACTATTTGTTAACGACGCGATCACAACAACATCTCGCCTTGAACCTCAGATATTTTCAGCCAGACAGGCCGAAGTGGCATATACCGAGGACCACGTTGATCTTGGAATCTGATCCGAAGGGGCTTCTCAGACACGTGGCCGATCTCCAGGCCGCCGGCATGCTGCTTGCCGCAAGCGGCAGTCATTATCTCGACACATCTCGCAAAGTCATCGTGACGTGCCAACTCCGCAGTTGAGACACTTCCATTTGTTATAGCAATTCACGAAATGAGAGAACTCGATGATGGGGGGTGGGCCATGAGGTCCGAAGCTCGTTGATCGAGAAACTAGAAATGGCAACCCTATAGATGCGCGGGTACACACCATCACCATGAAAACCGCAGGTGCCAGGATGGCCGCGTCACAGCACTCTTTCCATCTTGACTTGCCGAGAAAGGCAGCGGCGTGGGTAATCCCGTCTCGCTCTAACCTCGTCTACATTTCCATGTTTCTCTCGAATTCTTCACTTGTGCTGCGAGCTCACATTTCGATCGCCGATGTCTGAGCCCTATTGTGACCTATTGTGACCCCCTAATTTTCTGACATCCACCCTGTCGTCTGATCCAAGTCCCCACTGGCTTCCAGAAAACCGGGGCCAGGCGTCGAATTACGACCTTCTGTCAAGAAAGCCATTGTGTGGGTTATTAACCCCAGACCCCGGGGATACGTCGACCCACCATCTTCTGTTTTCGGCCAGGTCGCCTTCCATACCCGGAAGGTCTGTTAGGTTGGCCGAAGCACCTGACGGAGAGATCTACAAGTCGATTCGCGAGACGTAAGTGGTTTATCTTCTTCAGAAATCCTGGAGCTTTCCGTTCTCAAGCAATCGAGCTGCCCTTCACCTGCATCCGGCCAAGTCGAAGCCAAAGCATCGGTATGAATTTACTTATAGTCGCCAATCTCCAAGCCACTTGCCACCATTCTTCATTCATTTCATTCCGAAGTCCAGCCTCCTGAATTTTAAGGTTTGACTTTAACCTAGACCAGATCAGAATGTCGTCCATATTCTCGAAGAGCGTCTTCGGGCTGTCTTTGGTGGCTGCCCTTGCCTCTCCGGCAGTGTGAGTGGAGATAACTAGGTGCAATGAAGACTCATGTATATGGTAGACTAACAGTATTCCCCAGCAGTGGTATTGCCTTTGACTACGGAGCCGACAAGGTCCGTGGAGTCAACCTCGGTGGCTGGCTGGTGTTGGAGCCCTGGATCACACCCTCGATCTTTGATAGTGCCGGTGACGCCGCCGTTGATGAGTACACCCTCTGTGCCGCACTTGGAGCAGACTGCCGGGATGTTCTCTCGGAGCACTGGAACACTTTTATCACCCAGGATGATTTCAGTCAGATTGCAGCAGCCGGTATGAACCATGTTCGGATTCCTGTTGGCTACTGGGCTCTGCAGCATCTTGACGGCGACCCCTACGTCGATGGCCAGCTGGATTACCTCGATGCTGCAATTGGCTGGGCTCGTGCTGCTGGCCTGAAGGTGGTGGTTGACCTGCACGGCGGTGAGCTAAGCTAAATTTCCATTGCGTTTGATAATCAGATTGGCTGACATCGTGATACAGCCCCTGGATCTCAAAATGGCTTTGACAACAGTGGAAAGCGTGGTGCCATCGGTTGGCAGCAGGGCGACACCGTGGAGAACACCAAAATCGCTCTCCAGGCTCTCGCTGCGCGGTATGGTGGTGATACCGATGTTGTCACTGCAATCGAGGCTCTGAACGAGCCGAGCGTGCCCGGTGGCGTGAATGAGGATGGCCTCAAGCAGTACTACTATGACTCCTGGGGTGTTGCCCGTGAGGCAAGCCAGGAAACCACGGTTATTCTCCATGATGGGTTCTTGCCTACCGAATCCTGGAACGGCTTCATGAGCGCGTCCACTGGCGTCTATTATGTGATGATGGATACTCACCACTACGAAGTGTTCGACGACGGTCTGCTTGCTATGGACGCCACGTCCCATGTCAGCAATGCCTGTGGCTTTGTTAATGACCACGTTCTCCACTCCGACAAGTGGACTATTGTTGGCGAATGGACTGGTGCCATGACCGACTGCGCCAAGTATCTCAACGGCAAGGGAATTGGCGCCCGCTGGGACGGAAGCTACACGGGCACTGCAGGGTTCGGCAGCTGTGACGGCAAGTCTGTCGGCAACATCGACACTCTCACCACTGACGATCGTACCAACATCCGCCAGTTCATTGAGGGTCAATTGGATGCTTATGAGAAGGGCAATGGCTGGCTCTACTGGACCTGGAAGACCGAAGGTGCTCCCGAATGGGACATGCAGATGCAGCTCGCCGGTGGTGTCTTTCCCAACCCGGTCACCAGCCGCCAGTTCCCCGGCCAGTGCTAAGGGATGACCCCTATACCAATCATTGCTTTTGCGTTCTTTCTCTCATTTAGGTTATCCACTGCTATTGGTAGTGGTTCTTCGGAGTTTGTCTTCTTCTTGAACATCGCTGCGGCCAGCTTGGAGCCTGCTGCATGCAGGCTGGATATCATCTCCAAGCTGTAGCATATACTTAGTATTCAATTCGGCTTGGCCTGAATTGTTGTTAGCTTCTCAGAGAATTCATTTCTTACTCTCAGTTATCGCCTTTTCTTTGACCGTATCCTGCTTTTTGGTTAGAGTCAAGAAACTCGTGGGACAGAGCAATCCAGATCAGCCGCAAGCTGAAAACGAGACGCTAACGCCCCACGAAGCTGCCTTGCTCCCCCTCCCTTTCTCATGTATTCATCTGGATCAGAATTTCCGCAGCGTTCCCCGAAGAGAAAATTGGCGTCTCTGGGCAAAGAAGATACATCTGGCACATCTGGCGGCCAGCACGCGAAGACACCCTCGGCATCTAAAAAGCCGATGGTGCGCATTTTCATGCTCTCATGTATAGCTGATTCTGACCGAATGCCTAGGAAGTGGCGGCTGCCACGGCCCACTCTCTTACAGACGAGATGAGGCAGATCATATGCAAGATACCGCATTACGCGTCCACTGCCATCGGCCTCCTCGATCTCTATCTGTGTCTGTGGGAGTGCTACGTGATCCATTCGGCCCACCGGATCCGCTTGGAGGAGGAACACCGCCTGCTCCACAAATTTACTACCTGGCTGGAGAGCGAGGATCAACAGCGCCGACAGGTCTGTGACAATCGTGAGACGCTGTTGTGGGATCGGCGGCAGGCGTATCTCGCTGTACATCAAGGAGTGCTCGAAGTCTTGCAGAGCAGTGAGCGACCATGCCGAGTAGCCGAGCTGCCATGAGTGTTGTGTAGTAAGTATCTGGCTCCTAGGGGGTACACATGAATGAAGATTTTGTTGTGGTATGGGAGCTGGTGCAGATCAGGAAAAAACCGCACCATCGGAAATAACTCCCGAGGTATCCATACGAAGAACCAAGTTATTCAGATATCAAATTGATCTTTTGTCATATTCTCTTACTTATTCAATCTGAAATAATAGGAACAATCAATCTTCCTTTCAATTAGAACAATTTTGCTTACTCGTATTCCTGTGAACCCCTACTACAATCTGGACGATAAGTCTGGGAACACCCGGTTATTAGGTAATATTAGCCATATCAACCACCCCTATTAAAAATATATATTTCTACTACAAAACGTCAATATTTCTGGCTAAAAATTCATGATATTGTAGATTTTAACTAGCTCTATCGAAATATAGCCTAATATCTTGTGTAATATTTACGTACGCGTCGCACTGCCACCAAACGCCTAGGAACCGACCGTATAAGACTGTCGATAACCCGTTGATCTAATGCATCCTATGCGGTAACTAAATAATGCCTAAAATAGGCCCAATCGCTTTGAGATTGGCCCATATTGACTAATTCAGGATATAACTCGAAGACCTTAAGTTTAATAGCCTCCACACCGGCTCAATCGGGTTAATATCGGGCGAATGCGACGGCTAATCTAATACATAAACCCCCCGTAATTCAAACCAATCTTGCACCTTTTTGGCTAGATGAATCCGCGCGTTATCTTGTTAGAAGATATAACTAGGTTTGTAGTATTGAGTAAGGCCGTTTTCGAGCGTATCGATATAGGAATCGGCCGAATATCCGCCTCGAGGCGACGTAGGGTCTTATTCCATAACGATCAACTTCGTACGTCCACCAATCCATATTCCAGCCTACACCATCTACGTAATATCCTTGACGTGAGGCTTAAGATTCACGAGATCACGTCGGTAGGCTTCAGAGTAGAACCGCCACACCTAACGCTTACCATTCGTCGATCTCCGTATTACGGAACAGTCGTCCGAAAAGATCATCTCTTCAAGGCCGTTTCCCTTAGCCAACGTAGCCTAATCCCGCGAGAATTTATATCGTTTCCGTGCAGTAGCTCCCGATATTGGTATTCGCTTGCGTGAACGTCGTTTGTGAAGTTGGTAAGTCTTTAAAATTCGCCGAAGAGTGTTACGACTCGGATTTCTATCGGTATTCGCGCGTAGCACCCTATAGCTCCACCAAGGATTCCGACGAGCCATTCGAAAGATACGACGATAATCCGAGGGTGTAAACTTTCGTGGGCGGCCGCTTCGAGGATTCGATTTAATATCTGCGCGTTGTGTGAAGCGTTGAACTGTGCGTGTAATAGTGCTGCGTGAGCAGCTGAATTGGTCGGCTAGTTTGGTAACCGATATATTCATTTCTCTGCCTTATATTATAGCAGAGCGCTGCTCAGGGGATAATTCAGCGTTTCGCCTTCGATTTCCACTGATTTCGGTGCCAAACGAACGCGTAGCCATGGTGTAGTGGTGTAAAGAAAACCAATGGTCGGGGGAGATACGATGTAAACACGCTAAAATCCACTAGCGCGTTCCCAGACTTTTGCGCTATTAGTGTAGCTCCTTGAGCTTGGTACTAAAGAACACAATAGCACTGCAGAGCAGACCAAAGCACAGCATGATAGCTCTCTGGCTAAAGATGGGGCTTGAAAGCACGGGAAGACACGGTTGAACAGAGGAGGTGCGACCGCCGCAGCGGCTCTGGGTTCGGAAGACGGAAGCCAGAAGAAGAACGACCGCAGTCCACGCCGTTTAGTCAACAGGTGTCAGTTCGACTAAAGCGTAAATGAAGCTCACCGTATTCCTTCCCCTTCTACGTAATTTTAGCTCCTGGGAAAATTTCAGCGCAAAATATGATTCACGGGTACTTCGACCGGGGTCTTCTACAAGCGAGCTGAACGCGAATTTTAGATTGAGCCGATAAATACGTGTGTAGTTGAGGCCTATATAGGATGTATCTGCCCCTCTCCGGCCTTTTCCTCTTTGTCCTCGTCTTTGTCCTTTCCGTCGAAAATCACTCCCTTGCCTTACTTGCCAGCGTCGCGCACCAGCAATGTCGAAAATAGAATCGCCTGTTCCGCTCGGTTTGTCGAGACCCTGCGACATACAAACTCCCGTACTTACACTTCTCGTTAGACTATCATGGGGTTGACCTGATTTCGCCGTTAAGCCGTCGAATGGCTAGCGAATCGCAGACGACTGATCACCGTTCTGTTGAGGTCGCTGACTGTGAGTGCGCTCACCTCGGATATCCCACACTTCGAAGAGAATGAAGACAGGGATGAAACGGTTGGTGCAATCGATTGGGGGGAGATCGGGCGTGCGCGCCGGCTCCCTAACGCGCAGGCGGGGCCAGCTTGCGCCTCCGAGCAGGCATACCTTGCCGAGGCAGGTAAAGACCTTAAGGAGCTTGTTGGGCAACTTCAAGATGAAGACCCAGAAACTCAGCGCCGAAAGACTGCCGTAAAGCAGACGAACCCCGGGTTCAAGGGCTGGAGTATAGGACCTGAGGGTCTTTTGAAATTTAAAGAGCGAATCTACATTCCTGTGGGAAGCAACCTGAGAACCAAACTGTTAAGCATTCATCATGATGACCCTCTTGCTGGCCATTTTGGCCGATCGGGAACACTTGAGCTAATGAAAAGAAAATATCACTGGCCGAATCTCCACCTAGACGTTGCCGAATACGTACAGGATTGCCAGACCTGTCAAGGTGTCACCGCAAAGAGACATAAGCCATATGGAGAACTTCAGCCCTTGCCAATCCCTTCGCGGCCATTTACGGAGCTCTCGATGGATTTTGTCACCGGATTGCCACCCTCAATGCGCCAAGACAAAGAAGTGGACTCAATCCTTGTCATTGTCGATAGATTCACGAAATGGTCGTTATTCTTCGCCGTCTCCATGACGATCACGGCTGCAGAACTTGCCGAGCTATTCCATAATGAGGTTGAATTGCGTTTTGGGCCACCGGACGGCATTGTCTCCGATCGTGGCTCTGTGTTCACAAGCAAATTCTGGTCAAGCCTTTGTTACATCTCCAAAGTACGCCTTAGGCCTTTAACCGCGTTTCACCCCCAAACCGATGGCCAAACGGAACGGGTTAACCAGACCCTCGAACACTACCTGCGCTGTTTTGTAGCCGAAGACCAGGCCATGTGGCCAAACCTACTCCGGTCCGCAGAATTCGCTTGCAATAACGCAGTAAACGCAACCACAAAGACTTCTCCTTTCCAGGCCTTATTGGGCTATTCACCATCCTTCCAACACCGCTTCGAGGGCGAACCGGCTTTAGGAGAGGTCCCAGCGGCATCCGCACGAATTGAGAAACTTGAAGCACTCCGTCAAAGATTGCAGGAAAACTGGCGAAATGCAAACGAAACCATGGCCAAACACTATAATAAAGACCACCAACCGATGCACTTCAAGAGGGGCGATCTTGTCTGATTATCAACAAAGAACCTGAGGTTGAAAAGGCAGCAAGAAACTAGCCCCGCGCTACATTGGGCCGTTCCGAGTACTACAATCTATTGGTTCCCGGGCTTACCGTCTAAGCTTACCTCAGCAATATGATCGAATTCACGACGTCTTCCATATATTGACAGAATGGGCTGATTCTGTATGGGCTAGTATGAAAGATGTCCAATGGGACTAGATATAATTGATCAGATTGATGATGATCGAAAATCAGGGGGATTGCCTGTTGAATAGCTATCCCCTGGCTGTACGGACGTATTTCTGTCCGTGCGGCCGATACTCGGCTGTTATAAAGCCTGAGTTTCTCTGTAAGCTAGTATTACAGTGGCGTTCCATTAGTTTGAAACCCTCCCATTTGATTACATAATTTTCTGCCACACTTTCTGCTAGTTAAAACCTCGTATTCTACACCAAAAACTAGTATAGAGGTATTTTTAGTGTCGAAATAGCTTTAAATAGCTTTAAATTGCATAAAACAACAGAAGAATACACATATACTAAGCGTATTAAAGCATGTTTAGGAGCGGTCGGCTTAATATGGTGGGCGGTAAAGTAAGGCGGTCAAAACGGAGGGTTTCAAACTAATGGAACGCCACTGTATATATAAAAATATAAGAAACCTGGGCGCTTGATGAATAAGCCCGTTGTTAACGTAATTCCCGCCCGACCTGGCCACCCGGCCGTCCTGGCCACCCCAAAACACCATACTAAATGCGAATTTTCAGGTCATAGTATATCAACAACAAGAAATTGGTTCTACTTGATTCTAAGTAGGATATGTTTTCTTAGCATTAGAAATATTATAGCATGACGAATATATTCAGGAAATGATTAATTACTACTATTACCAAAAATACACCCCGATCGAGCGATGAAGATATATATATCTAGTTTGTGATACCCTAAAATATTTCTCGACCTAATAAAAATACCTAGTATAATATATTAAACACCAAGATATCCCAAGACTATATAATCAGCTTTGATTGTTGAAATATGAAGCTGTGAAATATTGCATTTAGTATGGTGTTTTGGGGTGGCCAGGTCGGCCGGGTGGCCAGGTCGGGCGGGAATTACGTTAGTGGTAAGTTACTACTCTATAGTAACTTACCACTAACAACGGGCTTATTCATCAAGTGCCCAATTTCCTTATGTTTTTGTATGTAATATTACGTTACATAATAACTCAGGCTTTGTAACAGCCGAGTATCGGCCGCACAGACAGAAACATGCCCGTCTGGTAACGTAATTCCCGCCCGACCGGAACACCCGCCCGACCGGAACACCTCTTCAAAAAACGCGTCTTCTAAACCACCCATCTAATTCAACCACCTACTATGCCACCAATTCGGCCCGAATCTGCGCAGAAAGCGGCCAATCAAGAGGGCAAGATCTTATTAGCCCTTGATGATATCAAAAATCGCCGTATCACCACTCTCCGCGCAGCAGCGAGGCTATATAGAATACCACTCACT